GTCTTACTCTCTACCAACAACTTCTCATTTATATTATCTCTAAGATATATAATAAATGAGAAGTTGTTGGTAGAGATACATTTATTATATCTTAGATACATTTTTAACCTGATTTGCTGCACTGTGATAAAATGTATCTCTTAGGTATAATAAATGAGAAGTTGTTGGTAGAGATACATTTATTATATCTTAGAGATACATTTTTAACCTGATTTGCTGAACAGTGATAAAATGTATCTCTAAGATATAATAAACGTATCTCTACCAACAACTTCTCATTTATTATACCTTAGAGATCCATTTTATCACAGTGCAGCAAATCAGGTTAAAAACAGAAAATCTACAATAAAAGACTAATTATTTGACTTTAAAATAAGAGGACAATACAAAAAATAGTTAAAGTTGATTCTCTGTTGCTATTTCCACACTGAAATCAAAGATTACTGGAAAATTCAGACTTCTTGGCTTAAATGTTGGCCAGCTGTCATGAGAAGAACGCACAAAAAGCTGTGACAAGATCTACAAAAATATTTCACATTTAAAATATTACCTTTGGGGATAAAGAAGGCCAGATTTGTGTTGGTGTTTGACACGTGCTTTAGAGTCTCAAGCTTTTGCTTGATGTGGTTTTCTTTTTTTGCCTTTAACCATTTAGGATCGATAGTATCACATAAGATCAACATGAAATGTTCAATGGGACTAAAAACATTCTCCAGATCTCTGGGTWGAAAAACAACAGAGTGTCACAGTCTGTGTTTGTTTTCTTGGTTTTTYTAGTGTTTCAGTGTTCCCGTGTTTCTCTGCCCCGCCCATGCTCACCTGTTTCCTCCTGTGTCTCCTCCAGGTGTTTCTCATTTGTCCTCATTAGTTTCCCTTTTTAATTTGGTGTCTTGTCCTCAGTCTGTCTGACCATTGAGCTGTTTCCAGCCAGTGTGGTGTCCTTCGTGTTCCTTGTGCCTCTGTGAGTTCTGCTGCCTTGACAGCTCCTTGTTTTAGTTTAAATAAACCTTTTTACATTTTTGGATTTTGCCTGCGCCCTGGGTCATTCTGCCTAACACCTCACACAGTCTTTTACTTTTGGTAATGTGATTTGAATCACTCTATTTTATTTATTTTCATTCACTWAACTAATCAAATTTCTGGTTGCCACCTATTGTAATCAGTTACAGTAAATGAACGTTTCATCACCTGGTGGTGTAAAGATGAGTCACCTTGTCATCCAGTTCTTTGTAGAGCTTGGCCATCTCTGCGTCTGTGAGTTTGACTCCAGGCATGATGCTGAGGTTTTTTTATTTATTATTTTTTATTATTTTATTTTATTTTATTTATTTATTTATTTTTGTTGAGG